GAGGAGGTATGTTAGGCTGACGATTAAGAGACTTATGTCAAGGTAAAGCTTGATAATGAAATAGGACACACCAGGAAATAGGAATGTTCGACAAAAACGTATGTTAGTAGAATTAGCGAGGAACAAAGCAATGATATACTCAGTCCTTTAGGATGAGCCATTTAAAACATAAAGGAGTGAAAAACATCACATCTAAGCCTCAAGTATGGTGAATCAAGTTATCATACAGAGATTCGCTAGCAAAACAATCGAGAATCCAAGCGAAAATAGACCTTTAAGTAAACTTGTGCCAAACTTATCAATGAATTCATTTTAAAGATGGAACAAACAACTCCCACTTTAACAGCCGAATTCCTAGACACATAATTACTTCAACTGTGAAGGCTATTCTATAACACCCCAGCTGCATAGGGAAGAAAGCATCTCAAAAAGCTCCTTTCTGAAACTTTAGCATTTGATTTGATTTATTGGACTGCTTGAATGAATTCACTAGAATTGGGCACATTTGTTGCTTCCACAAAGTCACAAGTGTGAGAAGATTCTAGAGTTACTTCTAAACCATGCGATTGGTCACTAACGAAACAACCTGTACGAGCCCCGAGGCAGTGCAAAAGTTATGCAGTGTAAGTGTTCCACTTGTTTTTAGCTTATTGTAGTAAGGTCGCATAAGCGTGTCAAACATGTCGCTGGGTTCCAAATCGTGAGTAAGGACAAGGCAAATACAAAGGTAAACAAGAGGGTAAGAATAAGGTGAAATAGTTTGGAACAAGTAACAAAATCTCATGCTATGTAATTCACATGGGGACTTAAAAACCCGAAACAATACCATTGCTTAAATTGAATGCGAAAAATTTGAACAGATAGCACCATTGGAAGGACTGAAATCCGTTATCAGTAAACTATGGACTATGTGCTACGAAAGAAGAGCCAAATGCCTCTGATGGGTAAGAAGCCCGTGAAATCATACATAAGGCATTTACTGGCTTGTATTAAAGTTGGACTTTTGTAGAAATATAAAAGAAAAGTAAAGAAAAGCAGTCTTCAATGACAATGCATTGGAACAAAGTTTACACCTCGACAATTCCTAGAGGGATAAACGATCACAAATTCACCATCGTGCCTTGGTGTCAGATTTTTAGAATGCAGCATTAAAGCGCGTTAATGTACCCGGATTCGCAGATATTTACTCACAAATGCAAAAACCTCTGAGTCCGATGTTGAGAAGTATAGGAAGCAATCATGGAGGCCCTTCGCGCAGCAGCCGCGCTCAGACCGCACGCGATGAGGTTACTCTAGTGTGTTTATAACTGTCCACTTCATACCTCGTGCGATTGTGGCGGATCTAGCGCGTCTATATATGGCAATTCCCTACTAAAATCATACAAAATCAGCCGTTGATGCAAGTCATCAAAAGCGTAAAACAACGAAATATTCTGTAATAATGTGTGATCTTAGTAAAATGAAGAGACTTGGTGAGAGCTTCCGCTCTTATCCCATAAGCCATGAATGGAAGCCACTGGATAACCTCTAAAGAATGAGAAATATTCAGGCCAAATGTATTTGCAACATTCTATGATGAAATGCTGAGAGGAGCTGCACACCGAGAAGTGATTATGAGCAACAAATCAAGTGTACTATAACATCTTCAGTTTCCCAGCACGTAGGCACTTTTTTCCATCGTAGAAAAGTAAAATACTGAAAATAACTCACATCTTTGGTCCAAGATGCAAGCTGGAATAAGGAGAATGAGAATATGCTGAACGAAGTAGATGACCCGAAGAGCGGGCTGAAAGGGACATTTAAGGACATGTCAAATATCCTCGTAGCATAGAAGCAGCCATTCTTTCAAATCTATGGCACATTTTAACTGGTAAACCGTTTACTTCCGGAAAGTTAATGACATTCGCGATGGCGTTAACTAGGAGTTTCCATCGTTCATCAAGTCAGTTATGAACTCGAGGCTACAATATTAATCAGATCAAAAAATTAATATCTACCGACGAACTTTATGGAAAGCTTCGTAAGTGGGGCTTCGAAGCGTGATTATTTCTTGAGTAACAAGAACGGCGGCAAATCCACGGGATTTGGAAGATGATGATGAAATTCCATTTTTTTGCACCACAAATGTCCTTACAGGGGACGTTACAGATTTCAGGATATACTTCAGTTAAGCATTTCTGAATAAACGAAAAACCATACTTTTTCTTAATAATTTCATAAACCCAATTCATTGTGGAGAGGGCAGCATTCCCAAAACATAATTGCTGAAAGACTAGTGTTCTCAAATAACCATCCTTTAACAATAATTGTGCAACGAACTGACTAACTAGTAGGTTTATGGGCGCACCGCTCTTAAGACTACTCATAAATGTAGATTACACTAAACAAAAGATAAACGTTTCCAGATTTGTCAATACGATTTGATGCATAAAGGTAAAAAACTCGTTATTGGAGAGCGCTTGTCTCGCGTGCAGTCAAGAATGTCGAAACATCAGACAAGACGCAATATTCAAATAAGCAAGCGAGACTGCAACTCATGCGATGAACTAGAGAGCAATGATACTTCAGTGTGCAGTTAAGCACTGTGGTACTCTTGGAAAACCGAAGTGACCTTAGAAGAGCTCACAAAATTACGAAAAAGATTACCGAATGCAACCACATTCGAAGTGGTAAAGTTCGCAAAGAAAACGAACACATTTATTTCCAAACGTGTATTGAGGACTGGGAGATGCCGAATTCACTTTACCGGTAGAGGCCTTTTCAGACTAGAATTGATCAACTCGGTGGCACTATCCAAAAAATCATATGGTCGGGAAGTGGTGGAGATGCTTTTGGGGCATTCAGATTCAAAATGCCCACAAAGGTAGTTGACAAATCTGCCTCATGACGATTATAGAATGTGCAACATAGGAGTAAGGAGAAAGGCCTTTAGAGCATGGCAAAAATAAGTATCGACCTACTGCCTCCGTGCTATTTTCAAGTAAAGCCGCCTTATGGGACAGATTCTTGTGTATTTTCAAGGACAGTCATGCAATGAAAGCAAGGGCATCGTAATGATCCAACATAAATCGCAGTTTGTTTAAATGAGCACAAGCTAAAACACAGCTATCTATGAAGGAGCATGATCTGGGTCAAGTGACTACTTTGAGTCGTGATTTTGTCTATTTTGTGCCAGATTAACCTTGCTGACTCTAACACTCCATTAGTTCTAAAATAACTTAATTCCTGCTGATACATATGACACAAAATTAGGGTACTAACAACAGGGAATAAATCTTTCAAACTAAATATCATTAATCACAAATTTGAAGAAATGAAGGGTTGAGTAACAGGGGCAAATGGCACACTATTCCGCATTAAAAAACGTACTGAATTTCAAATTTTCCTCTAAAAAGACCCTATTGGTTATGCAACGATAAGAGTAATGGAAATTCATTTGAGGCTGCTAAGACTACAAGAAAGGCCATTCGAACGAAAGCTAAATGGCAACTCTAATGACAGCCAAGTCTCTAGTGTTAACTACCACACAGTACGAATGATGAGAATAGTCCGATAGTGGAGAAAATTTACCAACACGACTGTGTGACAACTCCATACCTGGTGATTTCCACCAAAATTACTTGAATATTCAAGTAAATACTCAGGATGGGATAAGTTCTAGACACGATTGTTGAAAAAAGCAGTCGTAACGTTTGCATAAAAGGAAAGCCAGAACATCAATCATTTGAAATTTCTGAGATGGAATACGCATCAATAAAAGAAATTAATGTCAAAATCTTTGAAAATAACACGTTCGACGCTCTTGGGTACCCTATCATGAGGAATTTTTTAGCATTGCCTTAACTGTGGACATTTCAACTACTTCGCACAAAACCTCACTTGAATTATTAAGAAATCCAAATTCACAGAAGTAATTGAAAAACCAGCCGAGAAATACTTCCATATAGGCATACAAGAATATGACACACAAGAACTAAAAAGGTTACTCTGATTACATGTACCTGCCGCTTTTTGGGTACCCTAAGCATCAAATGTACTAATAGGATCGATTAAAATTCCTCCGTTTCACGCTAAAGAATCGAAGCACGTCAGCAACAAAAAAGCAACCCTGAAACACTTAATGATAGGCACTGGTTGCAACAGTTCGCAACTTTTCGATAGTATCATACATCAAAGGACACGATATGCCGAATTCTAACGGCAATGGCAAACAAAGGAACGAAAATGAGTGCTCAAAACACAGAAAGTCGAGACATACCGTCCTAGTACCGGCAGTTGGGAGTAAGAGGGCAAGCAATGTCCCATTGATACCATGAAGATGCAAGCGAAAAACGGCAGTAACGAATGAGCTCGGCTTAGCGAACAAAAGCCATATCTAAACAAAAAAAAAACAAAACTAACAAAGCTCCCTCATTTCGATACTATTTACAAGTAGGATAATTGGGGCATGCTATTATATCAAGGGGGCAGAAAATAATCAAACTGGTGAATGTCCAATGAGTTTAACAACTAACATTAGCCACCAGTAGGCCCATTTGGGCTATAATCCAAAAAGACATCACAACACATTCTAAGCATAAAATGTACTGCTTATTTTTTGGGAAGTTTGACAGAATCACATAATATTCAATTACCTGGACGGCTGTCAATGCATGGCATGGATTGAAAATGAAGATTAGTGAGCGAGCTGTAAGTTTGTAGCCGATTTCTATGCCGAAAACTAAGCAGTGGATCATTGTTATCCATGCAATGTGTTTGCGTGGGGCATATCTTTCATCAATAGGGAGCTTAAGCCTTGGAATACACCACAAAAGCAAACTTCCATAGATAATTGTGAAAAATAGAGTTTCAAACAGACGCCTGGTTTCTGATAGGTAAGAAAGGCATGCTGCTCCACCTTCACTAGGAATATCCCATCGAACACCTTCATAAAACAGCCCAAACTGCGACATCAAGAGAGATACATGAGACAAGCGCCGAGAGGACAATGCTTAACGTAAGCAAATTTGGACGAATAAAGTGGACGATCAGACCAATCAGCAAGGAGCAATATTTCTAATCACCAAAATGTCAGTCCAAAATCAACTATTAACTGAGGACTGATGTTAAATAGGCCGGCCGCTTTTAAGTTCAAATTTATTCGCATTCGCTAAAAAAAACTTTTAAACCTCAAAGCATGACTAATGACACCGTCGGCAATTCATCTATGCGGTTACACTAATTATACCGGACAATTATAAAAGTAACTAAAATGCTTCTAAAAGTCAGCTAGTAATAATAGTAAGTGTTTATGGTTTTCTTGCCTTAAAAAGCGTTGGTGCTTCATAAAAACACACGTAATTCATTTCATTAAGGGCCGCATTCCAGAGCCAAATTGTGTGTTGACAGTATGAGAGCGTTTCCAACATTCCATCTTTTTGTAGTGCGCCAATTTCTTAGGCTCTGGTCTTGATTAAGGTGACGCTTTGGGTCTCCGACACTATACCTTCGCCAGGTGGGCTTGCCTCCACTTCATGCCAGTAGCCTCAAGCCCCGCTGCATATTGAAGATGCGTATTCCGTCCCGGATATCGCGTTTTTTCGTCTTTGGGGAAGTGTTGGGGGCCATACTGTACCCACATGGTATCGCATTTTCGAATGTCTCGCGAGATTCAGGATGGACTTTTTGGTGCTTTAGTGCACAGCAGTCACTGAAAGAGCTCGGTTGGGCTTTCCTCTGAGAAACCTAGACAGTTTGTAGATCGTGTATTGATCATGTGGTTTTAAAACTCTTGAATCAAAGTGTGGTCTCGTTTTCTTCCAGCCGAAAAAACCAGTGCCCCTTTTTGGTAGCAATTTTTTTTAAGTAATTGTTGTGTTTAATAGATGTTCTTGTACAAGTGATCACTTTCTATCCCATGGACTAGTACTCGTTTGTGATTCAGTGTATACGCACACGTATGTGCTAATCAAGATTAATCTTGGCTTTTAAATAATACTTGCACACTTCGTATTCCCTTTTTCGGCCATAGGACATTTAGGGTTGAAAATTATAACTTTCGTTTATATTGCCTATGTAACGCCAACTACCACAGTAAAGGCTGAGTTTGGCTAGGTCACACGCGTGGTAGGCAGCACGTACATGCCCGTGTCTTTGCTGTTACGACGGAGTTTAGGATGTATCTGTGATTTTTCAAACAAACTAACCAGCTTAAGATGCACTATTATTACTGAACAAATAAGGACAAAATTCTCTCGTGCCAGTGTGTCTGCTGCTAAGCGATGCTCTGGGGCTGCTAGAGATGTTGAAATTATTGCTATGACGGACGTTAAACGGATACCTGATGATATTAAGAACGTAAGGAAGTTGCACTTTGTAATTCGTAGGTCCTTTTGACATCCAGTCCCAGGATCTCAGTCATCGCTGATTATGCATTTAGCGGTAAGGGGAAAATGTTACGTCCACTTTTGGTGCTTTTAATGGCGGCTTGTGCCAATGGACACAATGATTATTCAATTATCACCTCTGACAATCCTACTCCTGTGCTTATGTTCTCTGATAGACATCTGAGTTTGTGCAATCTTATGATGAATATTTTGCGTAGAAAACACGGTTACAGATGCTCAACATGCTATCGCTGTTATTGCCGAAATGATTCATACTGCGAGCCTTATACACGACGATCTCATTGATAAGGCTGAGATGCGCCGGAAGAAGTTGGCGACTTATAGGAAATTTGGGAGCAAAGACGTTAGTTCTCCTATGTCCTTCACAATTGTTTTAGGCTGTTCTTGTAGGCAATGTAACTCTCTTGAAAGCTTCAGAATTGCTTGCCAAAGTGGGAGACGCGGAAGTTGTTTCCGTTCTCTCAACTGTTCTCGATGATTTAATAAGAGGTAGTAAACCTTCTTATTCATATTTCCAGGGGAATTTATGCAGCTAACATCGAATTCCGATGAGAATTACCGCTTCCACCTATACCTTGAAAAGACGTATAAGAAAACAGCAAGTTTGATTGCCAATAGTTGTAAGGCTGTACGTTTCGTTTCCCGTCCTAGAGGGAACCAGACATGTGCCTCTCCCATTGCTTAACCGTTGCTCTCTTCAGGTCACAATTCTTTCAAAGGTCGGTGATGCACTGGCAGAGTCCGCGTATGCTTTTGGTCGCCATTTGGGCATGGCCTTTCAGTTGCTGGATGATGTTTTGGATTTCGTGGGTCAGGAAGATAAATTAGGAAAGCCAGCTGGCGGTTCCGATTTGCAACTCGGATTAGCCACTGGCCCTGTGCTCTTTGCCGCGCAGCAAGTGCGTCGCCTCTTCAGTCTTAACTATTTCAAACTTTCAATGATAGTAGATTTCAAAGTGTGTAAGTTGCACTATTCGGTCCTCCATATTTTGTTAGGATTATCGACTATTACGTTAGCTTTTTGTTCTTGGAGTAAGTACTATCCGCAATGCATATTCTTCTGCCTTAATTGTTTGCGTATACGTTTAAAGGCTAGTCCAGAAATAGTTGCCAAATCTGGTGCGAAAAAACCCGAATTTTAAATTACGCTTTTTATGAATTACGGAAAATCGACTCTACAATATTGGCAAAAGCAGTATTATGACAAGACATATAAATAGCCATGGTTTGGTAATCTGCAAATATCTACGCTATGGAGGTTATTTTAATCCACGCTTAAGTAGATGCGACATTTTGTGCTCAAATTAGTGAAAATGATGACTAAATGCTACAAATTTTAAATGTTGTTTTCACTTTTTGTAAGTAAAAGCTTGTGCTGATTCCCCGGTAGTTTTGTTGTAGTTTAATGTTATTACCACTTGATGCGTTTCGCAAGTTTTGATCTGTTGGCGTTGTAAAATCTAGTTTCCCGAGCTTGAGAGGATGCTCCAAACCGGTTTTCGGACACCTGAGGATCAGAAAAAAGCCCTTGAATTCATCCACGAGGTGAGTGTTGCCATCTCTTACACTAAAATTTTTCCTGGTGTTAAGACTTGGGAAAATCAGGTTACAGGTAGTTTGTGTGCCTTTTTTATCGCTGGGTGGACTCCTCAACGAATACATTCACGTGCTTCCGCAATGTGAAATCTCCACTCAAATTTAATCACAACTTCCTCACCTACTGTTATTTCCATCCGTTTTTTAACGCTTATTAACTAGCCTTCTCAAAGACATGTTAAGTGGTGGTTTGTGACACCTGAACCAAATTTATACCAAGTAATTTTCAATTTCTCGAATATCTGCTTTAAATGTTAGAAATCTTGCAGTTAGATGCCTGTCTGTGCACGGTAGTTCACCGTTATTTTTCATTGACATGCTAGAACGCGTTGCACCGGCATGCTGTTGAGGTGAATGTTTTGCTCAATAGACCTTACGATCTCAGAAGATTACTTACTCGACCATTCTATCCTCTCCTAAATCGCTACAGTTGCTTCCTGATCAATATTTTGATCGTAAAGATTTGTTTGTTTGTTTTAGTCGAATGGCGTTGGCCAGACGCGGATGCTAGCTGAATTCCACTTTCAGGAGGCACAACGCCAGTTGGGCCACTTTAAAGCTTCGGACGCCCGCAAATGCCTCCTTCAGGTTGCAGCGACTACCCTCCTGAGGAGTTTTTAGCGACATCTTTCAGACCTCTGAACAGCCTCGTATATCAGCAAATCGTGGTGGAATGCACATTGAGGGCTCTTAGCCTAGTTAAAGCATCTGTTTTCTGTTTCAATATGGAGCTTAGTGGCCTTTTCTGCCGGCTCATTCGCCTCGATTCCAGTCTTGTTTAGGATTTCCGGACTTCGAGTGTCTCCCTTGTACAATTGTTAGAACTTTACATGTAGCTCATGAGCCTGTGAGTCAATCACATACATAAGTGGGAACCAGAAGACTCGATGGGGCCAGATTGCACGAGAGGATTTGCCGAGTAACTGTCCGTGGGTTAGAGCAGTGAGGATTTGGCAGTATTCAGTATGCTCTCACTTTTACGGTGTGCATTTAGTTTCTTCTCCGAGGTCTACGTTATCTAATATGCCCACTTGCAATGTAAAATAGTATTGTGGTCTGTTACAGAACTCTACACAGATGGAAATGATGGGGAGTCCTCTGTTACAAACATGATTTCTGTTAGATTATATGGACCTTTCAAGTGTCGCACTTTCCTGAGGGACTTAAAAAACTACTCTTACTACCGTAATGGATACTATGTAATACGACAATGGTTTGTCCCCCGGTACTGGTGAGGCGCCACTTTCGTACTTTGAATCTGCCCCCTTGTACCTCGCTGGGTGGGCTGGCCTTTTGGGCCATGCCAATAGCCCAGACACCTTTTCTGCGCTGAATGTATATTCTGCCCGAGTATTTTGTCTTCTTTCGTCTTCAGGGCGTCTCGGGACGCTACAACTGGTAATACGGGGACTGAAAGACGGTATGTGGTCATGTATCGTCTTGAGTCTTCCCTGACTTCGTAAGAAGCCACAGTAGCGTGGCAGAAAATATATTACTGAGGTATAGAAGAGCTGAGAAAATAACAGCACGCCTCGGAGGTCACGTTACCAGATGAAATTACAATTTGAGAGGACTCAAGTGGCATCGTAATCAAAAGCGGGGTTAAACAAATCGGCAAAGCATTGCACCCAAAATATTTGTTTCAGGGGCAGAATGCAACAAAATGGTGTTCACAGCAATTTGAGACAGAGAGGTATGGATTTGGAACAAATGTAACGTCTTGGGCTTTTTCATCACAAATTTTGTAAGGCTGTAAAGGTCCACAGTGCCCACAGTGGATTGTAAAAACGTGGTATAAGAAACGACGTTTAATTAGTGTAAGCTTTTGGTTACAAATATCTTGTGATTACTGGAAAAATAGGGCCAATTTTAAACAACCAATCGTGTATGCACAACGCACGATTGTGTCTGTAGGTGACGTTGTAGTGTGTGCCGACGGTTTCGAGGTGGGGATGCGCAATCCTGTCGCCTTGGCTGTTTTGCTTTTGCTACCTGAGTTAATTTTAAGGTAAATTTGTTTGATATACACATACTCATACAGCCAAAATCTTTATGAATACCTCGAGTTGTCAAGTTCAGCAACAGATGCCCAAATCAAGAAGGCGTATCGTCGTCTAGCAAAGCAGTACCATCCGGACAAAAGTAAAGATCCAGAAACTGAAGCAAAATTCAAGCAAGTCTCGTTTGCTTATGAGGTTAGTTCAGATGACATCTTTTGGTTATGTTTTTTTGTGACCAATTTCGTTGTGTAGTGTCTATCGGATTCAGCGAAGAGACGTCGGTATGATTCTGGTCAAGGAATCAAAGCATGCGAAGGCGATGGCGGTGACAGTTTTGGCGACTTTGGATTCTCCAATATATTTAGCTCGATGTTTGGTGGCGGATCTGACATGCACCACGGGGAGGACAAACTTCGTGGTGCCGATATTGTTGTTGGCCTTCCTGCCTCTCTTGAAGAACTCTACAATGGCGAGTTCATTGAAATTGTTCGTTCAAGGCCGATTAAAAAATCTAAACCGGGCACACGAGAGTGTAATTGCAGAATGGAAATGAAGACTCAATATCTGGGCCCCGGTCGCTTCCAAATGCTACAGCAGCGCGTTTGCGACCAATGCTCCGATTTTGAGTAGGTTTTTTGTTCAAGCATGTCTGTTGATAGCATTTCAACATTGCGATTTCTGCACATGTGCGGTGCTTTTTGTATGCCTAGGTTCGTCACGGAAGATCGACAAATTGAGGTGGAGATCGAACCTGGAGCTCCTGATGGCCATATTTATTCCTTCCCAGACGAAGGTGAACCACACACAGATGGGGATAGCGGAGATCTCAAGTTTGTCATTCGGCAGCGAAAGTGAGCTATAAACTAAGCTGAAGTCGCACGAGCTTTTTATTTCTTAATCTGAAGCAACGTTTCTATAGTGCGCCAACTACTTTGAATCCCTGTTCATTTTCTCAAATCCTGCTTATTTTCTTTGCTCTTGTTCCCAATACTCCAAGTCAAAACTTTTGTGGGCACTTGAAAGTCTTTTCTACACACATTCGAACATACATCTAATCGAGGGAGTAAAATGGGTAGGTGTGGTATAATGCAGACCACTAACGTGGTCATTTACGCCACATTCCGTCTTTAAGTGTGACTGAGTGTAAGTAAGATGCAAAACATGGAAGAAGGGACAAGATGCCCGCTTTCTGATTGTGGTGACCTTTGACTCAATCGAGTCTTTCTTACAGGCATCCTGTTTTCCATCGGCGGGGCGATGACCTCTATACAAATGTGACCATCAGTCTCACCGATGCATTAGTGGGATTCACAGTTGAGTTCACTCATTTGGATGGTCACAAGGTATGTCAACCTGTGGTTTATTCATAAAATGGGAATATTAAAATATCTTCCTCGTTACTGGTAAAATGTATGCCTTAATGCGGTAAAATATAGTGCGCGTTATTCATCTTGCATTTCCTCTGAGTAAACTTTCCTGATTTATTTTTTAAGCGACTTCAGCAGTAGCTCTCGTGCCACATTTCCTTTTGTTATTGCTTGTTGAAGCAATTGAAGATCGTGTTTGGAACCCTTTAAAGGTTGCATTATCAAGGTGAAATTTTATAAAACATTCCTATCACAAAGAGAAATATCTCTAAGTAAGGTATATTTGCCTTTTCATCGGAGACCGGGTCTTCCATGACCTTCAAATGTGCACATTTTTAGAAATTTCCGGTTTGGCTTTAAGGAATGTTGGAATGGCGTCTTTCACGATCTTAACTACTTCTTAACGAAACTGAGTACCTACATTCGCCCAAGAATGTTTGATTTGATGACCACACAGTGACATTAATTGAAACTCCGTGCTGATCCGTTTAAGGTGTCGCTGAAGCAGAACCGAGTGACCTGGCCCGGAGCAGTAATGCGTGTACCAAACGAGGGCATGCCCAACTACGATGACAACGCCAAGAGGGGAAATCTCATAGTCACCTTCGATGTGGCCTTCCCTCGGAATCGGGAACTCAGCACCAGTGAAGCAGAAGCGATCAAAAGCATTTTTGGTGAGGGCACTAGGGCCTCAGGAAAGTCTGTCACCTTCGGAGTGCCCGCTAAGCGACCCAAGGGCCTCAACGAGGGACACAATGGCCCCATCGTCTACAACGGTTTCTTGTCGAAGAGCGCTGCTGAAAAACATCTTTCTAACACCCTTACATAGCTTCTCCAGTCCAGCAGCGTTCAAATGTCTTTCAATCTGTGCATCCACCACTCACACCTCCACGGTGTCCAACAGAAGCTCCCTCCTCCCTTTTCATTTGGTGGAAACGCAAACGCATTTGACGATACTCGGCGCGTTATTGTTCTCTGTTCCCAAAAATGCAAAGCTTTCTGTATATTTGTGAATTCTAGTGAATTTTTTCAGTTGGGCAAGCTGCGTTGGCATAGTTCAAACGGTGACACAGTATTCTTTTGGGTAATTCACAGCCAAAGTAAACTATGAAACGTGAATGAAGTGAATTATTGCACGGGGAGGGGTTTATGACTCTGTAGAGTGACTGGCTGTCCATTGCACTCGAAAGTGGGCTGGATCTTCCCATGTACCAAGTGGTTACCTGCATCATTATTTCCACTCAAGAATTGTCACTATTTCACCGCAGAGACCAAGATAAATGCAGGGAGGTCTGTAACAAACATTAGATAGGTGGGGGGGTTTGCTTCGCCGATTTTTTGGAGAAATACCCGTTTTTAACTCATGGTACTGAAAGCCGTATGGTGATAGTGGTTGAGCACTAACACTAAGCATGGTGGTCTGGAAATAAAAAAAATTTTAGTGATATTTTCAAGTTAGACTTCAAAAGTGGTAGATGATTATTTTTAACAGTACTTGCGCAATAACGATTAATCTACGCCCAATCAAGTCGAGCAAACGTCATAAGTACCTGGTGAAATATGCACTGGTTCTCTGGCTTCATTTGAGTAATTGTAACTACTTAGTCTTCCCATTTGTCTTTAAAATATCTGAAGCTTCAGGAGAAAGCACTTCTACCTGCAAATGGTACTGCATCGTTACCGCTGGTGACCCAGTCGTGTGAATTAAGCCTACAAGGTGGACAGCATCATCAAGTCGTGCTACTGAATTCGCATTAGTAGCTTGTTCAGGCGACAAATTGTCTCTAGTTTAAGATGGGAAAAAAAGAGAAAGCAAATACGTGGTGTAAACCTGCTATGTAATCGAGGATTTGAATTTTTCGATCGATACGAAGGTGTGGCGGCAATTAACTACAATGTGGCTAATCGTCCAATTGACAGAGCAGAGCGACTCCGCGTAGGATCCAGTGCTCCGGTGCCTTCTCCGTCGGCAGATCTATAGCGAGCACAAAGTTGGTGGAGTGGCCGGTGGTCGAGAGGACGCCACGACGCTCACTTGTCTTGTAGACTGGAGTCTGGTAGGTGCGCCGTGGCATAAGGTCAGTCTTCTGTATTGGAATCAACCGTATCTATCCAAGCACAATAAATATGATTTTTTCTATCCACATAGCATACTTTCTTTACAAAGGTGGTAGTATTGAACGGGTAGAACTACCCTCTTGAATTTGAACAATTGTGACTGATTCCCTTACGTGAAGAAGGAAGTGTAATTACGGTCAAAGTAGCCATAATTATGATCTCTAGTAGACAAGCATAAAGCTCATCAATGGTTAGTAAAACAGCTTCAGGAAACTTCATTTGCATCATTTACTGTGGGTACAGAATCTTGTAAAATCTTTGGAAGCGACTCATCAACCACTTTTTTTGCTCTGTTCCATCGAGCCCCATCGAGGAAGAGTCCGTAGACATAGGCTCCTAAAGGAAACCAAATATTGACAAAAATTCTAAAAAACTCATATCATCATCCACTCCGTCTATTTAAAAAAAAGTGTTAAAAATTCTTCTGAATTTGGCTTCAACACCCTGTTTTTGGAGCTTTACTGAGATAGATCAACTGAAGGTCTGATTTGATAAATCATATTTTTAAGAAACGGTATGTAAACACAATTCCGGAGGGCAATGCGGCTGCTTTGGAGAAATGAACAGAGTACTGCAAAAGCATTTTAATTTTTAGATCCATTTAAGCTGATCTAGAAGGCCTACCATCTGCGGGTGGTTCACTGAACTCATGGTCTTCCATGACCTCGAAATCGAAAGTGAGCAGGTCAATGGGAATCGCGTACTTTCGAGCGTAGTTCTGCTGCACACCAGTGAGGAAAGCTTGTGTAAAGAAGAAGCCGGAAATCCAGAAGTTCGGTGGTGCGCCATTGTCACACCACTCCTAAATAAGGCGAATTGCATCAGTGAGGAGCAGTCACTGGACGCAACTCCGATTTGATGCATCTCAAAAAATTTTGACGAACTTAAGAACGGTGCAACCTAGTGGTTTGAAATCATGATTGGCATTAGCAGCTTTGTTAAGGTGAAATAAAAGTAGTTTGCGGGAAAATATGTAACGAGGCCTTAAGCAATGACGCATCACTCTAGCGTTGCGGCTTAAGACAAAGCGACTGACATTCCTGTGTTGAAAGGCTGTCTTGAGTATTTCGATGATCTCTTATGCGCATAATGTGTGTATACTTCTACTAAGCATCAGTTAAAGACATCAAACTGAAAAATTTAGGATCTCACTGACTTCTCTAAACATTTGGATTTACATGGTGCGACTAACGTATTCAATGACCTCACATCTGACTCCCTTTTTTCATTCTCAACACAAAATCATTCAGCACACCTGGAAAAACTGGATTCGGAGCAAAAAGTCGTTGATATAGGAGCCTAGTGGTTTGAGTGAAGGGTAGGATTTAGCCATCCACATTGCGGGAATCTTAGACTCGAGGATGGAGACGACCACGTTCTCGAAATCGGGTGACATCACAATCAGACCTTTAATGGCTTTGCGTAGGTCAGTCAGACTGGTGCGAATTATGTCAAGCAGCCGGTTAAAGCGCGTCAGCTCCTGGACCAGCACTGTATTCATACTTTGCTCATAGAGGGTAGGGTACTTGCGTAAGATCAACTCAAGGTCGAAGTTTTCGGGCAGGCGACTAAGGATGCCCGTTGTCACGTCTTCCAAGGTCTCATCCTGCGAGGCTCCCGATGATGAGCCTCCTTTTGACTAGAAACAAGTAAAATGAACTTTTATGAATTCTTGCTTTAATAGATCCAAAATGTGCATGAGTTCCACTAGTTTAAAATGCAGAAAATATGAGTTTAGAAAACTTACTAATTTAAAAAATACAAACTTCCAATACATACCTGTTATTTGTTCCCATGCTCCTAAACGATAACCAATGCCCAAAAATTGCAAAATTCTGCAATTATATATTCAACAACTAGCATCCAGTTAAGTCGATATGCCAACCTGCGTAAGAAGAGCACTATTGAAAAGCAGTGCCGTTTCCTGATTGTCTTTGGTTATGTCAGCATTTGGATGCATTCCAAAGATCTCCGGAGAAGGATTTAATGGAAGCGTCTTGATGAAATCAATGTACTCTTCATACTGGGGAAAAATAAAACAAATTTACGGCATGACGCTCCAATGAATACCTCTTTCATAAACGAAGACCTAAGAAGTATTCAGTTATACAAAACCTAACGAACCCTGCGTAGCATTATGGTATCTTTAGAGGAGTAGACCTTCTCCCTCGCGCCAATAACCATAATTTACCCAAAAGATGCGCTTATACTAATAAACCTGAACTATCGCCTAAACAAGAAAATTAGGGATAATATATTACGCTTTTACAGTGCTACTAGATGCCGTTAATGAGGGCAGACTTTGTCCTCTCGTAAATTGATAACTACCCCAAATTGAACTTAAAAAATTACTCCTACTCGATTACTTAAACTCAAAAATTGTTTATTATTGCCAAATTTAAAATCAATTTTATTTGTTATACCGACAGCATAGATGAATGCTGGTTGAGAAACAGAGCAGTTCAACAGAGATTCCCAGTTTTGAAGTGAGAAGAAAGAATTTACACATACTTACGGTTCTTTCGGATGGGACGTAATAAAGTCCACTTTCGTCAAACTTATAATCTGGATCTTCAACCAATGCGGGACAGTAAAATTTCTCTAAAATGGTCAAAAGGGTGCGGCGATCCCAACTGTCCGTTACTCTACCACCGTAATTGCATTCTCCCGTCAGGTACCGAAGTGCCTCATAATGAACCGTCTAGAAAAGTAATTAAAGTAACACATTATTTTTGAAATGAATACCTGAAAAGAGTGAAATACACTGTTTTCACTTTAGTGGATTTAAGAGTGAATAAACCCCATCAACTAGGGTCTTAAGGGAAAGTAACTGATTAAACCACCTTTCAGAGTTCAAAGTTGCAAAGTGTTTCAAAAACTGAGCTTCAAATAGTTTTCAGGTGTGATTCACATTGGTAATGTGAATACGCATGATTAAAGACTCCCTTGATAAAAATCCTTACATCATACTGATTGAGGAACATGTGCAATTGTCGAACAGAAATCCGCAAATCAGTTTCATTGAACTCGTAGAGATTATTCCATCCAAGAGGTCCGAACTTCCTCCTCTCCTGCACTACCGCATGGAAAAAGATCAAACCGTAAAGCATTCGCTTCCACGTGCCCTGCTTGAGACAAGTGGAGAAGAACTCTGGATCAGCGATGGGGTCACTCAGGTAGGATCGCCAGAGGTTGAATCTCAGACCCTTTGGAGGCTCGTTAGTCATTTTGACACCATTCTGCAAAATAGTTACGGGGAAATTGGAACTGGGATAACTGGTCAACCACAGTCGAAAATCGGGATGGGTGGTGTTCGGTTCGATCTCGTCCACAAGCTTCTCCAAAGTAGGCATCCAGGAGGGAGCCAGATGGCAGTTCTGCAAAAGGACCCACGTACCCTCCTTGATGGCATTTTCCATCATCCGTTGGGCAATAGGACCCTGGCCTTGACCCAACGAGAGAGACTCAAACTTGGTGCCGCCGAAGCCAATATCGTCTGCGAATTTGAGTAATGCGGCCATAGGATCAGAGCCAGGTGAGAGCACGAAGAGTAGAGGCGTGATGCTGTTTGAGTCTGCAAAAGAGCCGGGCAAGTCGAACGGCGGTGGCTCAATAAATTTTTTCCCCAGATAGTCGGTAACGTAGTCCTGAACAATAGATGTCATCCTGTCGGGCCGAAGAATGCGGATGAAGAGCATTTTGCCAAGGTAGTCTGTAATCTCCTCGTCGTAGGGTTTGGGCAGAGGGATTGTGTGTGGATTTGGGTGGTCGTAAATTGCTTGATATTGCGCTAATCGACTGGTGAAATTTTCTCTGAGCTTGGTAAATCTTGGCAGTGCTGACATACGACAGAGTTCATCCCACTGCTTTGCCGGAAGCCAAGACGAAGGGTTGGAGTGTGGATTGTCGAGACCAACGCCACCAGTGAGGAGAAATCGCCATTCTGTCTCGTTTATCTCCTTCCTATGTTTACCTAAATTTATCACCAGTAGGAAGGAGAAGAGTAGTTTGTCCTTTTCAAACAGGGATCGACAGACGTTGCAGTAGAGCGAGTACGTAATGTAATCTTTCAAGATCTCTAACCGCTGTTGTAAATCGTCTGATTTGTCTGAATTTTCAATGGCTAAGTTGAAGAGATTTATGAACCAGCTGAGAGAATACTGGTACATCGGATCAATGTTAGCCATGTCGACAATGGAAAAAAAGAGAACTGAGGTATAAATGGCAATAGGAAGGTAGCCCATCCTGGCAACATCAATTTTCTTCTCTGTCTCTTCAAAGTAAGATTGTTTCTCCACGATCTCATTAGAGAGTTCCTTGGAGGAGTTGAGTACCTGGATGGCACTCTCGTCCTCTAGAATGTTGCCCTCTGATGCAGAAAGCACGGTGAGGATCTGATCTTCCAGCTCCTTCAGCTTCTTCTTGTTTGCAGCGCCTTGAAGAATGAGTTTATTTTTCTCGTCCTCAAGCTCAGGTCGTTCACGTGCTACCACAATGCCTAGTAACTGGTCATTAAGCCCTTCGCTGGTAATCATGAAGTTCACCAAGGTCACTTTCACTGCAACCTCAGGCATATAGTGTGGATTTCGAAGCTAAATAGAAAAATACACATTACTATTGTCCACTGGTACTATTATTTTAATCTGTTTACGTGACATTAAATAAACATTACCTCCTAGGAATCCGTTACCCGTTTTACCGTTTGAAGTAACTCTTTGAATTAAAGTCCAATATATGATAACAAATATCAACATCAGAGTATCATGGCAATTAGTAAACTGTTTTTTTTGATAGGTGCAAGGTAGACCCAGCGTATAAATAGACAAACCGACCTTAGTGGTTATGTAGAACTTGAAATCCGGTGAGTATTCGATGACTGAATCCCCTAGTTTGATGCACAAAGCACCACCCTGCTTGAAAGTCTGTTTCAAGAGAAGTGACTCCAGCACGGGATCCAACTCCTCGCCCACATTTTCTAGTAGCACCGGTATCCCAAACTGAATGCTGTTCTCCATACTTCGAATAAAATCACTGTCTGACAGTTTTACAATAACCAAGTTATTCTTCTTCTCCATATTCTTAATCCACTTATTTGCCTGCATTTGTGGATCAACCATGAGTGGCCATCTACGGGCCGTGCTGTAAAAAAAAACAAATTCATTCATATAGCCACCAGAACAATTGAAGTAATGAACTATCTTTAAATGAAAAACTGACGTTGTTATAATACCATTTTCGATAGAAAAGTCATCTGTTGGCAGACCAGCGATATTCCAAGCTCTGATAGTCACAGGGCTACCGAGAGTCGCAACAAGACTAAACACGTTGGAACAAGGAATCACCGAGTTTTGGACCTTTGCAAGCCAATCAGCTGTCTGCTCAGCTCGAAATGTGGGAGTGAATGCTCCCAAATAGGCCACCACACCGCTGGAGACGAGAATATCGCCGGTAAGGGTGGCATATTGCTCCCCAAGGTTCTTGGCATTATCAGTCCATCGTTGCTTCTCGCCGCCCAAACCACCGATCAGCTGTTCAGCGCGCTCCAATTTCTTCGTACAGATATCCACCTTATTTTCAAGCTCAATCTTCTTCTGTTTGTTAATGTTTAGTTCATTGGTGAGAGCCTGGAGCTTATCCTGTACAACCTTAAGAGCAGCCCGCTTTTTGTTGAGGGCCTCCATAGCGATATTGTATTCCTCCATAGCTTTTGCAAGAGCAATCTTCTTAGGTGCAACAATCTTTGCGACTTTATCGTAGGCGTCGATAGCAATGACCCACTTACAGAGACCCTCAGCTGCCGTTGAGGCAACAGCAATTCTTTCGGGTTTGAAGTCTGGATTGGGAATATACTTCTCCCTAATCGTCTTGATAATTCCATCAGGAATGTTGTCTTTGTCGTAGGTCTTCAAGTGTTCCAAGAATTTCATGTCACCTAGGAGTCTCTTGGAGGGACCCCAGAAGTCATCAATTTTTTTAACAGAGCCCCCAGGATCGTTTATTTTATCTGGTTTTACACCCTTCAGCACACAAACCGCTTCCATAACCAGTCGAACACCCATTGGGGGTGACTTCATGGTCTTCACAATTGTTATATCCTGCAGCAATCGAATAATTAATCATAAACTTTATGCTTTGGTATATGTTGGGATTTGTTTCAAAAAATAAACGTATCATCTCCGTCCAAAACTGACATCTTTGGCATTCAGGGAAAGAGAAAGAGAAATCAACGCTAATGTAATGCCACTAGCCAGTTCATTTACAATATATTTATTAGTGAAGTAAAATATCTATAGAAATTTCGTTATAGGTTGCAAATAAATAGCAATTGGTGACTTTTTGTTCCGTATAGAGTAGGGAAGAGAATTTTGCAATTCACTTTAATATGCTCTTGAAATACGCTTATGCCCTGATTTTGCTTGGAGGGAAATGAGAGAAAACGCACCGCGGGAGTTAGAGTTTCGAGAGCCTTGAGAGCTGTTTCGAGGATGGGAATGGCTCCAGCAAGGTCATCATCGCATTCCTGTTTAATGGCCTGCGCGGCGCTAGCCTGCTCGTTGGCCACCGCCTCATCGGCCCGCACCACCTTCTCCTGCTTAGCTGCCTCAGTGCTCTGCTTCTCTACTATCGCCATGGTCGCGTCAACCTCCTTGCTCGCCTGCACCAACTTTGGCTGCAGCTCCAGCAACTCCTTCGACATCAACGTGATGTCCTCTGCCGCGCTGCCCAACTTCTCCAGACCCACCTCGTAGCGGCTTTTTTGCATCAGCACCGACCTCAAGTGTAATCACAGGCAGACCAACGTCATCATCTACACAAACCCACTTTTTAACATCCCGCTTTCTGAATTTACATTTGACTCAAAATGCATATTTGGCTTTACGTTAACAGTAATAAATCCCACATAGATCATGACGATACCTAAGAACCATTCATTTCTTAATTATGCTCAGGAAGGAAATCTGTAGCATTTTTGAGGAAAAGCACTGCAAAATAACCTACTTCCTCTTTTCATCCAAAAGCGTTATGAAAGTGGAAATGAGTTCGAGATAAGATGTCGGGGTGACGTAGTTATGTCTTTCCAACTCCAGTTGATATCGAATGGACAGGTCTTGAGTGCTTGTATGGAAGTACTTGCACAGATTGATGCATCCTTGGCGCACTTCTGGAGACATCTCTACGGATTGTAATTGCCTCGTTGCGACAGCCGTCAATGCGTCCTCAGGCCACGACTAAATGGACAATACTATTTTCTGTCTAGACACGGAGCAGTCCTACTTTCGATTTCTTAGATGGATATTTTAGAAATAAACTAATGACCACTTATTCTAACGATTGAATAACACATAACTACGTTCAGTGATGCACTGGCCCTAAGTTAAGCAGAAGTAATGGATGAAAACGTGCATGAAACCAGTCTATTGTGCAGCAGTTGACTAGCGAAGGGAACATTCTGAGTCGTTGCCTGAAGGCGGTGCCAATGGGACTGAACGCAAGGACCACGTGAAGCTGATCTCGAGTTTTTTGAATGAAGTAGTTAAAGAGAGCCACAGGCGAGCCGTCGGTCTGTTTGCTTCGGTCACGCTGCCTATCAAGGACGCGCATCTTCTCGCATACTTCCTGCTTCTCATCAGGTGGGAAGAGGTTGGGCACCTCTCCAGCATTTAGAAGGTTGTTCAGGTCTTCCACAAACGATTCCTGCTTCACCTGGGTGTCAGTAAAAAGAAAGACGGAGTGGTTCTCCGTCTCCGTGGTCTTTCGCAGGATGCGTTTGAGGTCTTCATTCCACTCGTTCATACCATAAGCTTTGGATAGTTCCACCTAGACAATAGAAGACATCCGTTACAATATAGGAGTCTATGTTTTCAGCAAACAAATTCTGGAGAGCAAATTAGGTATCTAACCTTGCCGAATGTAGTAAAAAGGTGTAATGTTGAGTGGTAGTGTTCGATATTTCACTAGTAACATTAACACATCTGCATAGTTTCGGTAGCTGGTATCAGTTAATGCGTCCGTTACCAGGGTCTCGGAGGAACACTAGCCACAACAGTCCATAATAGATGTATCGCATCTATGGTAATGCTGCTTAAAAACTTTAAGATGTAGCTATCCTCAGACCAAGAACATCCTGCATATTATTTCATTGGATTAAGCTCAGCCAATCTCCATTTGACACATTTGGTGCGACCAGTTATAGCAAACGGAAGAACACATGTTGTACATGTGACTTTAATGGCGATCACGTGATGGTCCGGTTTAATGCATTGGAACAGAAGCAGACATAGTGTCCACCTCTTATTTACCTGGAAGAGGTCGTAGTCGCAGATGTGAGCGGCAAGACGGGTAAGAGACTGTCTTCCCGAGCCCCCAACACCAACGAGGAGGGCGTGAGACCTTGGCGTCTTGAGGATGCGTGTGATGCGGCAAACGTGCTCAATGGCAAAGCGGAAGAGGACCAAATTCATTGGCTTCTTGCTCATTGAATTATACTCGTCGAGGAAGCCCTCCACAATCTTACGTAACGCCTCAACATCAGGCACTTCCACGTAGAGTCGATCCCCCTTCGGATCCACAAAATCGCAGAACATCAGAGAGCGCAAACTATCTTGGGTCACCTACAATGGGTAGGTCCACGAGGGTATAACGTATTTTAATTTTGTATAGATAAGAACCGTAGCTTGCACAAGCAAAAAGTGTTGGAGCAAATAAGGCTACCTATCAGCGTCCCAATGCCAGATTAGGGTATAGCACAACCGTATAGTTTGTGCATTTTTCCCTTGGTTGTTTGCACCATCGCCATTAAATTTATTCAAGCTACGTTTTATAAAATAATCCATGCTTGACCATCAGTGTTCGCAAAGTTAAAACCCAGCAGGTCACAACAAATGCTAGGAGAGCTATGGGGTATCAATAATTAACGAAGTGTGCGTTTACTTGTTTATGTGTTTCCAATTTTGTATTATATCTATGCATAGAAGAACAGCCTAACAGAAGCCCTACACATCAATTCAAGATTTCATTTACACATTTTAAATGGCACACCAATATTTCATAATGAATAAGAAAAGAAGAAGACAATTAAGAATAAGAAACAGGGATTTTCAAAGTTGTAAAGTTGATAACGCTATCTAAGATATAATTACCTCACCACTTCTATCTGCAAGATTTTTACAGAGCCCATTCAGTTCAATGTTCAGTTTATCCTTGAGAACATTTTTGGCTGTCTCAAAGAACCACGAGCGATCTGCGTCGTCAATGAGACGATCGTAGTAGACGCGGTGTACTTCGTGAAGCCAGAGACGTTTCAGTGCAACCGGAGCAGCTGTTGACTCTGGCCGACTCAACATCACGCCATAAATAACGCGACTAAAGTCGCGCAGATTAAAGAGGTAGTGCGACTTCTCCGGTGTCGGCAGCAGGTTCAAAGTGGCTTGTTGGTAAACTTCGAAAGTGGCGTTTACCAGCAATTCAGCCAATTCTGGACTGAATTCCCTTGGGAAATTGCTAAAATTAGACATGGGGGAAAAGATGCCAAAACTGTGCGAGGAATTAAAAATGCAATTGTTTTTCGAGTTTAACAATCCCACTAGTTCTAGCAAGTTAGATTTTTCCAACCTATGCAAGTTTGGTGAACGTGCATGGTCACTATCTCATGCTCATTTAAAACAGTCATGGTGACTAACTAATTTACATCCAAGTAATCATATTTCCACTGAAATGTGAAACCCTGCATCAGTAATGGCAAACTAAAAATTTTGCCTACTACATGGCATTGCAACTCACTGGGCCATAAAGTGCCAATTCATGATCTTATTAAAGATCGTTTTCATGGTATCCTCCGAGAAATCGTTTATCGCGATTGTGTTCAGATGGCGCAGAAATCGAGGGGTTACAGGATTTCGTCCACCACCCGGTGGATCCATTGCGCCCACAAATTGAAGGTCAATCAATTTTAGGACCGAATTGTCCCTTAAATCGTACCTATTTAGGCAGAAAAAGGTGAGTGAGTTTCCTCGCGTTGCGTATACTTGGATGATGAGCAATACGCCAGAGTAATACGCGAAATCATTTGACAACCGGCACGTTTTTGTTACCACGTATTACACACCAATGACACAATTCGTTGCATACAAAATCCATGTACTTGTTAAACAAAAAAAGTTGTTCGTAAATGACTTAGGGAATTTTAAGTTAGTCAGTGACAAATGCTTGAGGCAAAACGAAGATCTGCGGTTTGGAGAATTGGACTATGCAACCATCTGGAAGGAGAAAGTAAGCACTCACCAATTACCGTGATCAAGCCACTGACGGAGCAACTCAATGGGTGGTTGGGCTCCATAGACCTCCCGCACCGGCATGTTTAAGTCGTCAACAAAGCAGATCATTCTCTTTCCCACAGGTGGTCCATATACCCCCTTTCGGCGTCTATCCAACTTCCCCATTATCATGTTCTGTGTCTGATTAGCGCTGGTTTGCGCTGAGAAGTTGATTACGTTTGGTTTGTACACGTTTTTATCCAGAACGTTGAAAAGAAAGTTCTAAAAGGCAAAAAATTTATCAAACATTGGTACGACTGGTCGGACAATGTCCACACATTTATTGTAAAACGCTAATACGATAAGCTAGTTGTAAAAGCAAATAAAGGATCGTAGGTAAAGGGACTTCATCGCACAAATAAGTTTCTACTTTAGTTGGTTGTTTGAATGAAGAAACTTTTAATAACTTTAAGACTCCAACTAACGGCAGAACTCGTTGAAGCCCAATGATGTCAAGATACGTTAAATCCAAAACCTTCATCACAGAAAGGTTAACGCATTCAAAAATATTCCAGTAAATATCATACTATGATAAACCATATTCATTTTTATGGCAGATGCTATGAACTCCACAGTGTGCTTAATGAAGACACCGGGGCTGGTCTTGCATTCCAACATGGGCCACCTTCCCTCAAGAATTACCAAAGTGACAAGGTTTTAAAGCATTATCCCAAACCAGCTAGTAAGTGTCAGTTTATTTAACTGTGACTTGACAAATCGTTAATAGGTAGTGGGGTAGGATAAGCGGATACTTGCCAAAATATAGCAGGATTTCCCAGTTCCCGTGGGACCGACAAAGAGGCAGGGTTTGCGGTGCTTCACAAGAAGGTCAAGCAGCTTCATCGTTCTTACGGTATCCACTGTGGTGACAATAATCTCGTTGAAAGTGGCATCCTTAGGGATGGGGGGCATGGCACGAACAACCTCGCGCCATTGTGTCCACTTTATCGGATACTAAAGCAACCAAACTAGTCGTTTCATGCACTGGGCTGGAAGTTTGGCGAAGTAATTAAATGCGTGGTTAACTGACGTTTAATTTGTTTTATTGCAAAGGTGGGTGGTCTTCTCTCCTATTTTAAATTAAGGCCTACATATTAGGCAGTTTGTCCTCAAAAGCATGTGATAAATTTTTAGCAAAATCCATGAAAAGCCTCGGAATTGCAATAATTTTAATATTTCAACCATAAGTTCAAAGGCTTGAATGATTAAGGCGCCTAAGGCAGTGGAAGAAAATTCCTAAGGAAATCAGGTGCCGGGAAAAATAATAAACGATTCCTTTTCTACGAACCGCTATAACTCTGAAAATTAACTTACTTCTACACCGCTTTCCTCATTCTTCTCGGTTTCGTCTGCTGTTATCACACCACTCTGGAGACAAAGTTCGCATGAATTCAGTTGTCCAAAGAAAGCGTTATAACGCAATCTCCATTACTTACCGTTTCTAGCTAAAGGAGGGACATAAAAATACATTAGAACGTGTCTGTAGCCGTCTCACTCCATATACCTAAATAGGTCACGTCATCATGCGAATTCCGGTCGTGGAGACCGATATTCGACTGTCTAGGGGTCAAGTCGATGAGCTGTGACACTCACATGTCGGTTTTGTTCCTGTCGCTACTGCGACATCATAAGCGTCTCTTGATGTGGGAGGAGCGACACCAAAACACCTTTCACATGTGGTACTGGTTTTTTACTCTAGTGACTAACTAGAACGCCCAAAACAGCATGGCGACGACTCACGACTCTTCCACCCTTATTTATAGACCCAATTTAAATCAACCCACAAGTCTTGAATTTTTAAAGTGTTTTATAGAAAGATCAACCAACGCGAAAGATTTTAAAAATGATTTAAAGTTGACAACCTACTATACAAGATAAAATCTACTTACGTCTTCATCCTCTCTCAGTGTCTAAAAATAGGCAAAGTGTAAGTAATGGTTAAGTGAAAGTGTAAATACCAAGTAAACATTGCAGACAAAAAACACATAAAGTGCTTACCTGAGCTTTCATCTACACGATGCAGTTAAAAATAAAGTAGTGAAGCATTTAGCTTATCGTTAAATCGCTAATATAATTTGATCCGCAACTTACCTGGTCCTTGTTGGGTTTGGTAATCTAAAAGACAAAAGCGCACTTTGTGGAGAAACGGTTAATACCTACCAGTTCCTTAACAGTAGAGCATAACCACCGACTTTGTGTGAAAAAAATAAGCACCTCCAGTGTCTAATAGACGTTTGTTTTACACTTAATTTATAGAAAAACCACTTAAAATAAAACAACCTATTTGATCACTGCCAGCGAATGGGTTTTAAAGTGTACACTACCCCACCTCAATTGACGATCAAATTTGCCGAATTACGTACAGTAAAGTCAAGACGATAGTCGTAGACACTTCCTTTAATGGGGAAGGGGAATTTGTAGTCCTCCATGGGAGGAGGAACCTGCTCCACAAAAGCCAGATAGCGTTGGGTGTCTTCCGTCATGCCTCCGTTCATGAGCTCGCGGGTCAACTTGTCAAATCGCTTGCGACCCTTGTCATCCTTCGTGGCACCAATTGACCACACGTAGGAAAATAGGAAGATGCACTGAAAAAGGGGAAACAATGCTTTGAATTGCTGTAAAAAAAACACGGCGGTCCCTATGATGAATGGATAACACGATCAACAACACCGATAGTACCAGAGGCAATTTTGTGAGTGATTATGGACCATGATCTGATTATGCATGCTTAGGGTAAAAGCTGTCGGAACCCATGCAAAAATTATTCTTTAAGCCATGTTAACGTATTTTGCGTTATTATCTGGTCATGTATTACAATTAAATTAGCAAAAATGACCTAGAGTTACCAGCGTGTAGTTCCAGCAATAAGGCATACACAGCCACAAATCAGATCAAAAGTTGTCGTCCGGAGGGACGTACCTCTACAATGCAGTTGATGTTGTCTTCGCCGTTGAAATCAACAACATCGGGATCCTTAAAGTCGTCAAGTTGGCAATCAATCAGATTAGTGAGACTTCTGACCATGTTTATGTCTGTTGTTGGTGAGAGTTCCTGTGCAAAAAAAAAGAGACACATTTAGTTAAAAAAAGCCCCTTACTAATAATGCAAAAAGAAAAAATATATTCCGACCACCTTTCCAGAACCTTTGCGGACCATAGTCAGACCTGCGTCAATAAAGCGCTCAGACATATTTTCAATAATCTTCTTTTGAGCTTCTTTCATTCCGGCAGGTAGCTTGGCCAGCCAACTTTGCATGAGTGGTCGCCACCCAAGACTGCTGGGCTCCATATAGATCATGCCGCATCGTGAAACTGTGGCTGGAGAGGCCGCTTCCAGATCCATCGGCTCAAAGATGAGATTGGTGGTCGGTGCCAATTGGATTATCTCACCTGACATGAGGCAAAGCTTCTTATTGTCGTCCAGAACAGTATTCATGTTCTCAATCCAGACAGCGTCCACGGGACCATCAAACACCAACCACTTTCGATCAGGAGTTTGGGACACTGCAAAAGCCCGGTACGAGACAGCCAGAACACCGTCAGACCACTCATGGGAGTTTGGATCGAATCGACCATACAACTGACCTATTGTGATGGACTTTGGATTCAGTACTGTAATCTGAACCTTGTTTTCGTCCATTTGGCCCTGGACAAACAAGTGTAGGCGCATTAACTACGAAGACATTTGGGATATGCGAAAGACACCATGGTCAACTTGCCTGCTCGCAGATATAACCCAGAGCTTCTGCAAGCACTCGATAAGCACTCGTTTTGCCACCAAATGGATAGCCTGTAATCATGAATCCATGCCGAACAATCATCATTTCGTAAATTTGCTGGATTTTCGTCAAAAAGAAATCAGTGCATTGTAAGTTCATATGGTTGCAAGCACGCTTAGCAGCGTTATTGAGAATGGCATAGTCGGGGTCGGGATATTTAATTCCCGGGAAGAGGTCGGAGGTGATGCCGTGAAAGAGAGGTAAATCATGGTTCAAAAACTTTGGCAAGTTGACATCAATTATGGAACGGAGCATTAGAACATCTTCATTGTCATCTGGGTATTGGAGCTAGATCAGAAAGTGTAGAAAAATCTGCCTTAGTACTTAAATGTAACATTTAATCAGTGCATCAATACACACTATTGCACAATGGCAGCTTGTTAACTAATAAATGTTATATTATGCTTGAGTATACGAAATTATCCTATAAGGATGTGGCTTTCACTCACCTTCAAGTTGCCGGCTGCGGTAAGCACAGATTTAACGGCCCTCATGCCATAATCGTAGTGGGGTTGGCTAGAAAGCTGTTCAGAGCATAACCGATAGGTGGCAACAATCTTGACAGCCAACGGCCGAGCAGTGACAAATCCACAGGAATATAGCGAAATTTCAGCGATCATTGCATAGTCTGGTACCATCATCGCCACCGAACGGAAGAGTGCCTTAAATGAAGGTAGCACACTTATAAGCCTTGAAGAAAAGTTGAAGGAAAGCGAAGGGGGACTAAGTGAATACCTTCAAGTTGTCCGGTAATTCTGAACGACCGGCGTACCCTGGGTTCATGGTAATGAAGACAGCACATGTTGGGTCGAGGGTGAGTTCCGTGCCTTCAAAAACGAGTTTATCTTTTCCAGAATTTATAGCTATCTGAATGGTCAAGATCTGCTGGGCGACAACAGACAACACCTCCAAATCAATCCGGTTGAACTCATCAAAGCACGACCAAGCGCCACAGGAAGCCAAACCCTGGAGAAGCCAAAAACCGTGACATAAAAGTAGCATGAAGGAAGATTTCATTTTACATTATTTAGACTAATTTGTATGCATCATTTACTAAATTTCTGTGAATTATATTGGCTTGAATGTCTTTCACGCTTAAACAAATAATCAGAATTAATCAGTCGACCAATGTTCTTCAATTACATAGATTAGCTTTATTTTGACACACCTTGAAGAACTTGCCCAGAGAGATGTAGTCAAGACCGTCAGAACAGTTAAAAACGACGCACTGCTTGGCGACAGCCTTGGCGAGATCTTTCGTGGTTTCCGTTTTCCCTGTGCCTGCGGGACCTTCGGGAGCGCCACCTAGGTGGAGGTGAAGAGCCCCAAACAGCGTGCGGTAGCATCGGTCCGTCAGTGGGGTGATGACCAGGCGGGTAGTGTTACCCAAGTACTCGTAACCGTAACTGGGATTATGCAAATGGCTAGATTTTCAGGGGGTATGTTTTTCGATATTTTAAACACAGTGCAAGAACTATTATGCGATTCCGATAGCTTTTTAAGTAGTGCTCATAAATATTATGACAAGGATAATCCGATTGGCTTACGCACCCACAACGTCATTTAAAGGGGGCGGCATTCATCTACGGTGCTCCAAGTTTGTACAATTAACCAAGAGAGGCAACGTGAGGGGAGGTGGGATTAACGTACGCAAGAGACGAGTTAATCATGCGTGTTTTCAATTGGTCGTTTTCCCAGTAGTAGCGTAGTTGACTGAGCCAAGGGAACTCTGTGTCACTTTTGACCTTCTCATCCACCAGTGTTTGCACCACATCACGTGCGTGCACGGTCAGGACTATCAGTGCCTGCAGTGTCGTCCGGTTCTGCTTTGAAAGCTTACCACGCACCATCTCAACAATCTCCTCAATTTGTCTCGTGTTCTCCTAGATAGAACAAAAAGCTAATAGGTATCTTTTATTTGAAAGTATGCATTTAGAAATTGGCAAAGAATTTGGGAATTAAAGGGTTTTTTAATAAAAGATGCTCAGTTATAATAGTAGACTTTGGCAATATTGTAAGTGTGGTAAAGGATTTTTATTTTTAGGATATTCAGATGGTATTTTAGTTCAACAAAGTTAAATAATATCTTTAGGCGTCCCAGCTACCACTTTTATCTATTCATGAAACCTCCCTTCTTCATCGTAAGTAATCGCAGCGTCGCTTGATACTTTTATTGCTATGAATCTGCTAAATAAAATCAAAAGTTGTACCTGCATGTAAGATTCAAGCTCTTTCAAGCCTTTATTGATGGCGATAGTGCAGTTAGAGGTCCAATATGTCATCGTGATGGCCAAGACAGCTTGCCCGCACCAATGTTTTACCCAGTCCTTTCTTACAGTCTGCACATAGTCCTCAAGGCAGTTGAAGATATTTAAGCGTACTGATGCGGTCATATCACTTTCCAGTTCAATAAGCCACTTCTCGACCGCTCCGCGTGCCTTTGCAGTTGAGATGACATCCTTCAACATGACCACCTCATCTTCACTGCTGCGTATGTGTGTGATCTCCAGATCCGCCGTAAAATTAAGCCGCGCAATGCCTTCAAAACACTTTTTCAGATGGGGCTGGACACGGGTTGGATCCTTGGTCTCGGAGAGGATTTCAAGTAGCTCATCGTTGGAGAGGAAAAAGAAACGAGGAAAACAGAGGCGCTTTTTCTCTAAATATGCATTTAAACCCTTGAGGATGATTTCGAGGAAGTCATTCGCTTTGCGCAACTTTTCCAACATCTTGTCGATTTTGATGACTGCAAGGACATGCGGATCAGCGACAGCGAGCTTCATGAGTTCCTTCCATGTCTTGTCCACAGATGTGAATTTGCGACTTTCGTCGGGCATTTGGGCCATTATGTCTGGTGAACTGAAGATGGGCTCGAGATAAAGCCATGTCGCCTGCACCTTGAGCCAGGCATCCAAAACGTCTTGGGTTAATACGAGAGTTGCTTCCCATTCCCTTAAAAAGAAACAAAAGTGGCGTCAATGGAAAACGATTTACCGAGCATCCAATTACTGATACTCAAAAATCTATGCAACTTAGATTAATGCGTTCAATTCCGGGACCTGAAAGGGAGGTTTGTTATCACAGTCCACAAAAGATGTGTAAAATAAAAGATGCAAGGTTTACTCAAGCCAAGAACATAATGCGTATATTTTTACTGTATATATTTTATTGTTTCAAACTCAGAAAATGTATTTTGGATAAAATTTGGTGCAACCTGTTATTAAAAGTAGATCATGAACACGCGTCACATATATGTGACGCACATGAAGATTGTGTTGCTTGACTGTTAACTCGTTCCGAAAGGTATGCACTTATGGTTGCGGCTTCGTATTTTAATAGCCGTTCCAGCCAATAACTTAACAAAGGGTAGGTTTGCTTTTGCTACATGATTTGTATGAGCTCTTCCCTTTTTACCTATGAGACAACGGTCTAGGGATTGTATTTTTCGCCAAGATTACCATAAAGAAAGAATTCCAAATCGTGAGTCGGTAAATATAAAAAGTTTTGTTAACAAAAGTGCGTAGGAACGCCAACCTTATTTCATTCTCAAAGGGTTTGATGAAGGGTGATCCACGCATTGTCTGTGACTTCACAATGTGATCATCGAGGATAAGTTGAATGTCATCAACTGCCGATACAATGTGGGTACCACTGTCTCGATACGGCAAGAGTGTGAATTCAAGCTTAATGCAAAAAGAAAAAAAAGTATCAATTCCAAAATTCTTAGAAATGTATAATTGACATTCATCGCCATTTCGGCAACAAAGCATAAAGTACAGAAAAATGTACCTGAATATCTGAAATAATAATCAAATTGCATATTGAAACGAAAAGTGTCAGACGATGATTCAGTAAACATGAGTTGTGTGCCGCAAGTACCATTATCAATGTTTTAAGTTCAGAAAACTGAGTGAATAGGTATGTTTCAAAGTGCTATTGCGAGATCTTCACAAACTAACTACTACTGATCCATATTTTGGCCCCACAGCATTTAATATACAGGCCGGATTTGTTCTTTTCTGGTCACGCAGGGGTGCGCTTTGGAAACAAACATTAAAAAGTTGTGGGGCTAATAGTAACTAAAGTTATTCTAGCCCATTATATAAAGACACTTGACTCAAAGCTGCTTTAAAATCAGCATGTGAAACATTAAAAATGCAAATTTACATGAATGGAATACCAAGATAGGATAAATTCTTACCGGTTCCCATTCCTTCTTCATTTTGGCTAAAGCCTTTTCTAGGTTGTACTCCTTGGTAGCAGCCTCAGAGATGGCCTCAAATTTAGGGATGAAGCCTTCGAGATTCATGTCGATTAGTTTAGCCAAACACATGCCCTCCTCGTTGCGAAGGGTGTATCCCACAACGTCGGAAATCTGTTGCCAATGTCTCTCCTTCAAACCTGGATTAAACAGTGTCATCACCAGTGGTAGGTGTTCCTTGAATTCCTCCACTCTGAGCCGCACTTTACTGGCGATTTTACGCGGAGCTGGAACTTGTTCAAAGGTCTTTTCTAACTTAAATAAGGCCCGATGGTAGTTTGCAACGTCGGCATCAACGGCCTCTGGATCTACCTTCTCCATGGGGCCATCCATCCATTCTTTGCTCTTGTTATTGAACTCTACAGTAGTCTCATAAAGCCTGAGGTAGGGCTTTAGAATATTCTGGGTTTCCAATCTCAAAGGATAGTTGGTCAAGGTCCAACCAAAGGCAGTCTCCTCAGCATTAAAAGAATCAATTTTGGTCAGGGCTACCTCCAGTCGTTCGTCTAGAGCTTGTGCTTTCTTGAGATAGCGCACCATCTCTTGCATGTCCCCAAAATGCTGAAATTCCTCCACCTGTTTTCGGTAACTATCCAATTCTTCATGGAACCGCTCCCTCCGATAGCGCAGATTGTTTTCAAACTCAACGCGTTTCTGACGCATTATATTTCGATGCTCATCGAAAATGTCAACCATGCGCGAGTGCCACTCGAAGACTTGGCCGATCATCCGCATATCAGAGGGATTCATTTGTGCATGGTCCATGAGAAAGAGAAGTCGATCTTTGGAATGGTCCAACTCACGCTCCATTCGTGCCATGGTAAGAGTTTCCGTCTTTTTGACGTACTCTATTAAATCCATCATTTCAGCCGTATTGGCTGGGATGGATAAGGCTTTAAATGCGATGTCCTCGTACTGTCGGATGAGACTAGAAGAAACACATATTTTTCCAATGTGCGATCTGGAGGGTAATATTGCCTTTGTTGCGAAAGTGTATCTCAGCTGAATTTTCTAATACGGAGACTCCTAAATTGCCTTGATGTTTGTGATTTACCACAAACGTAGACCTATCCCCTTTTCGTATGCCGGATTCGTAAGCACTTTAACCAATCTGTTTAGGCTCATCCCACAAATATTATGAAATTTACAGACAATTTCGTTAAATTTTTATGGTAACAGCTAAACTACCTTAAAAAGGGTCCTGGAACATTTCATTATTTAAAATAATCACCATTACAATCTACAATTCATGCAAGCGGACCACAAGCTTGCCAATTCTGCTCCTACAAAACGTTTCGTCTCTCGAGGCAAAAAATCTAGTCATATCAGTTCCCATCTCACTTTCATTTCCTAACCATCTATTTCCCAAGTCATTCTTCAATGCCAGGGAAAGGCTCTAATCACTGGGGCAAAAATTTCGTCAAAGCAATATGGCCAACGAAGGTGAGCTCGTATCCCTCTCTTTTCCAAATATCATATTCCAACGCTCCGTGATATGTGGCGAGCTCTTCTGCCTTTTTCCTTTGTAGGAACAGGACTAGTTCTAAATACCCACCATAAAGTTCCTTCTGCGCACCCTTGAGTCGTATTATAGCAACTAGGTCCCATTCGTAATTGGTGTTTGGGCCTCAACAATAAGTTTGCAAGGAACAATTTCCTCTGCAGCCCACCTCACACAAAGCGAGCATAGTTTTCTAGATTTAAGTGCCCCAAGTTCTTAGAAATGTGGGGTAGGTAGTGAATAGATCCTTCGAAAATAACCAATGGTACATTTTTTTGCCTAACGTTGGAACACAGGATTCTCTAACAATGGCGTGCTTTTATCACGTAAACGAAGTGAGGATCAAGTTTATAATTTTTAAAGGGCAGTGACGTCTGTTAATGCATGTGGCCGAGACCCATTTGGTTAGCTTCCATCAGCAATTACCCTAACACTCAAGTAAAACACTACAGCAAGTTCTCGACACATTGCTCTCGACTAATTCTAATCAAGTGACACTTAACTCGCTATTACCGAAAGTGTAACGCCAACCTAAAATTCATTAAATTAACGTGTCCTCGAGTGATTCTCTACCAGAGCCAAAGACTTTAACACACTCCTGGGCTACATAAATTTGACAAGAAACTTCTGCAGCTTTGGATTTGAGTTAAGTGGGCTTCAAAAACTAGACAAGCCCGAATCACATCGAACCCCAGAGGGTTCAAATTGAGAAACATATACTGAAAGGAGCAATAGAGAACACTGTATCGATAGACTGACAGTGATCTATCCTTTATATGCATATAATAGGAACAGTAGTATACACTTAATAAACTACGAGAAACCATTGTAAAGTGCTGCACTGAGAATAGCATGAACTGTTTTGGTCCTACAATGGATATCAAATTCACGTTATAATTATCGTATGTTGTTGAACCGCCTGCTGGAGATATTTTAGGTATTCTTCTATCTATTTCAAATGCCAAAAAATGCCAGTAAAGGCTGGGAAGTCTGGAATGAATTTGCGCGGTAGAAAGAAACCTGGGTTATTTTGGCTGGCTTACGATCGATTAATGTTCCGATGTTCCTCGAGAATGCGATCCAGAACCTTGTCAGCGATGCCCTCGGCCCTCTTCACGAGGGCGCGAATCAACTCGTCCGCGTGCACCTCGAACAAACCGAGGCGGATGGTGCGACGGGACTCGTACTGGATCTTCTTAGTAAGGTGGCGGTAGCGCAACAGCTCTCCTGTCAAATCGTCAAAGGAAGGCCCCTTGGGTCCTTCGTTGACGTTATCTGCATGTTGAACGTGGTCCTTCTCTCTCTCTCCATCGGCATCCTCCAAGGACTCCAGTTCATTGCCCTCCTCAACGGTTTCATCGCTGCTACTTCCATCCCCACGACGCTTTTTTTCCAAGTCAGACGAAGATGACTCACTTGGGTTGAGAAGAGCTTCGATGTCTAGCTCAGCCTGGGAAAAAGCCCAAATTGATCGGATTATTTAAAGTTTATTTCGAACAACATATCTTCTCAAGATAAGGAGATGAAATCTCAAGCATCCAAAGTGTAATTTTAAACTCGTTTGCCATGGTGTTTAATAGATAAGCTTCATTAGTATCAAGTAGTGGATGAGAGTAAACTGAAACCACTTTCCCAAGACTAGCAGTAATTTTTGGACAGGTTGTCTTTAGAAAAAGACCTGATGGCGCAATTGTTCACTGGGAGGACTTGAAGTAGAACCGATGAATTGCAATGCACCCACCTGTCGATTTATAAGAAATCCGTATTTATTATACGTTTGAAGGTAATGCTCTGGTCCACGTGACTCTTTTTTGAGTGTAGTTTTGACCTGGTTCTTGTAGGATTCAAAAACCTCAGGAAGGATTACGGGGTGTAGAGTGACCTTTTCCCCACCAACACCTTGCTAAACAACGGAGATTTGCAAAGTTAGCATAATTGTGCGGGGCACTTTGCTAAGCCGACACCTTGTCGACCACTCACCCAATCGGCGTACAACCGGGTCTCGATGCGAGGGATGCTCTGAACCACCTGGAGCATCCTGTCAAACAGACTCATCATGCTTTCTTCGAACTCCTCTATTGTTGGATCGAATTTAATCTGCTTATCCTCTAGCACCAATCGAAGAATAAATCCAGACATTTGTTCGGAATTATCAGTCTGAAATAATACGTTAAATGATTGGACTCGTCGTAATTAATGCTAACGGAGACCAAATGGACCACAAAAAGTGTCCAGCTTACCTTTGGTCTTGCGAAGCTTATATGTCCACTGAATTGCTTATCGGCAGTAATTCGCTCATACAAGCGCTAAAAACCATAAAAAAGTTTATTTTTAAACTAAGCAAAGAGTGTTGTAAGGTGGATAAGCTCACAGGTGGACTGCAGAGCAAAAGAGTAAAGTCCTGCATAGAATTTAGGCCCAGTAGTTGCAAGCTGCCAGTCATTAGCACAGCTGCGCACCGGAAGAACTCCTCCAGTCTGGTCATTTCGCTGTTGGCAGGCACATAACCCCTTCTGTTGCCCTGATAAAAAATCCCCTGTACTTCGTTTAGCCACCTACGAAATTGGTATGGAATTACTTAACAATCCCAAATAGAATGCCGTCACTGAATTCTTCTATGCAAAGGCAGTCTCTTCACTCCAATGTCATTACCAATACTGTTTCGTAAAAAATAGCAATTTTTTAACAAGGAGTATTTTACACAACCACCATTTTAAGAACAGGTCGACCATTACACTACCGAATATAACATTATTTACGCTTTACATTGTTTGAAAAAGAAACATTGTTAGTATCTTACAAATCCATTTGCTATTTTACATTTATTCATTCAACAGAAATAAATTACTTTGACTAGAATGCGATTGAAACAAATACCGAGGACAATGAGAAAAAATTTACTTAATATCATAGAAACAATGATTAGGTTTGAGACTTTCGTGTCAATCTAATTTGAAAATAGCAAACAAGGTTTCCCTGAGGAGCTTACTTCTTCAGTAGTATTTCCTTGGCAGAGTCTATATTTTTAACACAGGCATGTTGGAATGTAGAGAGCTCCATTGCGGAGGTTTTTTTGTAGAATTCATGAGGATCAATGAGACGAAGCTCACTAGAACCGCAAGAATAGAATTGATCAGTTACCCATGGAAAAGTTAGACTGCGTAACCAGAAACTGAAGATGTATTGGTTGCACATCAAAGAGTCCTAGCTACCTTCAAATGACCTAAGGGGTTTAAACCCAAGATCACTTGATCCATTTTTTGGGTTTTCGAGATTAATTTGACGAATTGAAGTATGCAGTACTTTCAGGAATCTTACCATCCAGCTTCTTAAAGGAATTTGAATTTAAACCGACCATCGAGTTAGGGGACTTACTGAAATTGTGAGAACCAGAGATCGAGAACTTGGAGCATGCACCGATTGGTTACATGCAAGTGTACCCGACAGAAGCGTTGTGCATTGAGGAAGGAGCTGTGCCACGGCTTGGGCACAACCTCTAGCTCGCGACGGTGTTCCAACTTTGCAGCTGTCTCTTCCGTATCCTGCTTGTGGAGACCGTCTATGTTGGGATCCGAGGGATCCTTTAAAACAAAGTCCACTATTGCCTTTTTCACGCTCAGCAGATAGTCCTCACGAATCTCGTCTTCAATCTGTTCCATCAGCTTTTCGTTTGCTTCCGCCTGTTAAAAGGCAAAAATAGTCACATGCGTTGTCAAGAGTTGGTTTCGCTCTGATTTTTTATTCAGCCGGTATGGCAGTTACCTGTTTCAACTTGAAGAGACAGCCAACCCTACCATTGTAATAAATTAAAGGTGTTTGCTAGAATATCAGATGGTCTGGCGCAATATTTTTATAAAGTTATTAAAATGCTTGTTAGTTGCTACCTTAACAGAAGGACGTATACGCCTCTTCATATTGGTCATCCAGCTTTCCTCCATAGGAGCGACATGATCGGTGTCAATCCCATTGTATATGTAATAATAATACCTCTGCGTCGAATCGCATAATAACTAAGACAGAAATTCCTACAGCAATGCTCCTCTCCCGTTGACTAATGCCAACTCCAGTTCCTTCTTCAGTCAGTGGAGGAAGATTCTTGCTAACATAGCTCTCAATAATAGGCTGCTTTCCTTTGCTACGTAAAGGATGAAGCGTAAGACCACATTTGCGATAGCATACGTGATTATATCGACAAGGTATTTCCTAAAAGACTCCTGTTCCTTTTTCTTGCGTTTGCTCGATTCATACTTTATATCATCTTTCGACTTGCGGACTTTCGTAGGGCGTTCTAAAAGAGAGGTGGAAAATTTCGCTAATAACTGAAGAATAAAACATCTATTTGTATTCCTCATCGTTTTGAAGAATTAATTTGCATGATTCTAAAAAAATTACCTAAATAATAGCATTTGTCGCCAATTCTTTGCAGGTTTGAACAAGTTATTATAAAGTTTAGGAGGATTATTAGGCTCACAATAATTAACATAGTTCACAAACACCTCTAAACACTGAATGTCTAACCGATGATGATTTTTTGCCGATATGTAGCTTTGATAGTCTAAGTCCATGTATATTACTCAAAAATTGCTACCCACTTTATAACCACCACTGATTTGGCCTTAATGACAAAAAAGTGGGAAAAGTGTTAAAAGTAGAGATAAACTTATTGAACATGTTTCTTGTGTGAGTTCGATGCAATAAGAAATTGTAGTTGCTTCGGAATTCACGTTCATGAGAAGAGCATGAAAATGAAACATACGACCAGTAAATCGAAGTCTAGAAATTGCTTAATGCTCAAACCGCCAATTAAATTATCTAATAGGTGACCAGAGAATGAGATTATGAAAAATTTACCAAAGTATCGGCGTCAATGTGACAATTTTCTACTCATTTCCTGTGCTATGAATAAAAAAGATACGGATTCCACTTAAGTAAGATGGCAGAATCGTGTCACTTTTATGACCTAGAAACTACCAGAAAACACTTTACGCATGTCCATTTATGAGACTCACTGAGCACTTCAGAAGGTTTACTAAAAATGCACAAAAATGTTGCAGTCTTTTCTCTGAAAAACAAAATGGCCAATATGATCTTGTTCGTAAATGTGAATTAAATAACAGCTTTTTTTAAGTTTACGGCAAATGCTAACAGCAGATCAAGAATTATGGTAAATGACAAAACACAAAATTTTGTGCCTTTTGGAAGCCCGTTTTAAGGTGGGGTTTAAGACAACTGGAACTACAAGCAAGCCCATGTTGAAGTAGATCGTGGAAAATCACATTTCTTAGACTAATTCATTAAAAATGCCGTCCAAATAGGGAGAACTCAGAGTTTGAATACCGTTAGTGGAAGAGCCTTGTGTAGTTCTAACGAAACATATGCAAAGTCGTAAAGTATGAAACAAATGAAATAATGTCTAACAAAAGCTTGAATGAGTGCAAGTTTTTAAACTAGCTGATATCGTGGTATTAAAAAGAAACATTTAAAGATCGGGAATGTAGTGGGTCATGTGTTTTAAATCTATAATAAGAAAGAAAAATATGGTTAGATAAAGCAGGAGTTTTACATTGCAGATTTGGAAGATTGGAGATACCTAAGGGTAAAAGCTAATCAAACATAGGACTATTTTGAGTTTAATACTAGTGCTTATGTAGTCAAAAAGAGAAGTTGCCAAAAGATCTTCAGGTTCAGTACAAGAATGGTACAGAATCGTAAAACATGAACAACAACCACTACCGGGAATCTAACATTTACCACAGGAGACGAAAATCAAAACCCAACTTACTACTAGTAATAACGCCTATGACATCGACTGCAATGGGCGGTCCTAATATACGCTTATTTGAATCTATGAAGGATGGTGAAGTGCCTGCCCATGTGGGCTTCACGCGCTTTGGTTCAATGGATGGTAATAGGAAAGTATCTTCCTCTACGTCCTTCTTTTTGTGCTTTAAAGCTCGTTGATACTAAAATTGTTAGAAGAACCTTTTATTCTACCATTTTTTTTGTCTCAAGTTAGGGAATGTACCGGGACCTATTGACCATATGCTTTAACAGAATTTGCGCTTCACGGTTGTTATAGAGATTTGTTGACAAACGTGCTTTGAAACAAATTGTCACCCCGTTTGTGCAAAACATTACCCTAACACCTGGCAATGGATAAAATAATCAGGCCATTAAACTAAAAAACCACATAAAAGTGGGTTATTTTAGAGTTTTTTGGGGTAAATTAAGTTAAAATCTAGCAGATGTAGCCAGTTGTGATAGGTTATACCAATTTCTGCTAAAAAGAAGTGTGGCTCATAATGTGCAAAAATGCACATTGAAACATACTGACTGAGCTGCAGTTTATTAGCAAGTATGAGTGCATCTACATCACTTGATTTATTTTGGTATACTTAACCGGGAGTGAGATGCTTGATAAAATTTTTGTTGTGATAGATAACAGCATTATTAAATTTAGAAGTTTGAGGTTATTCGCCAATTCATATACATATAAATCACATGTGTATGAAGAGTTCCTAGTGTACTTTCTCATGATAAAGTGCTACAGCAGATATAAATGATTGCGGACTAACACGAATTTTTCTTTAAACGCCATGATTTCTGGCATTAATGGGTCATTCTTCATTTATAATTGGAATCATTTTCACATATTTTGGAGTCCTATTAATGCATTCCAACCCCCCTCAAGGATTAGGATGTCGTGACTTGGAAGAAGAGGAGACTATCCTTTACACAATTTTGGAAATTGGAGTAAATGCTGCGATCTAATTGCTTCATTTTCCTCAACCCTTTCCTGACAACAAATCATCGTCTTAACACACCGTTCCAAACGGGTTTTAACTATTTCCGCAGTATTTATCTAAAACAGGATTTCAAATGCATCTTATTTCATTAAAGTAGAGGACAAAACCCCCAGGTGTCGAGAGCCATTGGTAGTTGACGCAACATACAGATACAAAAAAACTGCGTTCTTTCTTTTACGGACAAAAAATTCTTGTAAAACCGATACAAACAACATTCACTGCATATGTACACACGAATATCTCACAGAGAAGTAAGCATGCAAAATAATTTTCCATGCTAATGATTTTTTATCAAATTCAGTCTTTCCGACAGCTTTTATGTAGCGGCCCGAGACTTCCCTGAAGACGAAAGAAGACACAATACTCGGACAGAATATATATATATATTCAGCACAGAGAAGGTGTTTGGGCTACTGGCATGGCCCGAAGACCAACCCACCCAGCGAGGTACAAGAAGGCAAATTCAAAAGTTCAAAAGTGGTGCCTCGCCAATACCGAGGGATAAACCACCACCGTATTACACTTAGGCTCATGTGTTTATGCAGTAGTGTGTAAAACAATCTGATCTCCAACCATAATCTCAGTCGCTTTAATGGGAGAGCCGACAGGTAGGTGATCCATAAGTTTATTTACCAAAATAAATCCTCTATCCAATTTTGCAACCATTGATATCCCTTTCAAAGTGGGCTTAAAAGTTCAACCAGAAGACACCGGGAACATCATTAACGCCTTTGTAATTTTGGGAAACTTGCCGGTAAAGATCTCATCAATAAATAGTACCGGAACTCCGCGTAGACATGTACAAAGGCTGATTATGGTTTGCATCCTCGCCTAGTAATCTAAGGTAGCCCCAAATGCCCCAATTACAAAAATAATTCTAAAAATACTTTTTAGTTTGCAAGTGCATTGGCGTAATCGCTGTTGCCGAGAGTTCCTTAACCGTTGACGAAATCTGTGAGGATTGTGCCGAAGTAATAAGCCTCCATTCTAGTAATATTTTGTCTTAAACATAATTGAGACGTAAAGTAAACATTGTTGAATTTGTTCCTCGATAAAAAACTTTTTTTTTAATTTTGATATACATAACAGACTGACACATTTGTCTAAACTAATCTGTCGTTGCTTTTTGAGACGGTTGTATAAAGTGGATTTAGAAGCTATTAAATACATTATTTGAGCTGTGAACTGTATGCTACAAAAAGAAAAAGTGAGGTTAGTTAAGCTCATTAAGGCCTAATCACCCAAGGGTCTACCATCAATAAAAGACGAAGTAAGCCCAAGCGACGACCTAGTGGTGGTGAAGTGATACCACCCAAGTTTATATATGAGTGGGGCACTGTTGAATCGATGATCACTGACCTGGCTACTTTGTGCCGAGGTCGGCGTGTTTTTAGGTTCGTGCAGTCATCCATCGTTAATCCCCACCGGTTTAGCGACAAGAAACGAATAAAGCGTAACTCCAAAGAAGTAGTTGGAGGATTCAACAAACCAGTCTAGATTTGTATCAGTGACGCTTTAGCACCAGACGGGATGGTACATCGTATATAAACTATGATCGTAGTGCAAGACAGCAACCGTTTTCGCCCACATATTTCAAGCAAATTACGCAACGATCCGATAATTGTCGGTCGAAATTGTTGCTTTCAAGGTAGAATCCTACTAAAGATCTAAATAGAAAGGTAAGGAGAAAGATTTCAGATTTAAAAAAGTTTACAGACTATGGAAGGGACGGTTTTACCAATGAGTAATAGTGACAGTCCTGTCGTTAGAATCAAAACTTCATTATGGTTGTATGTTAAACCTGCTAGCCCTTTTAAATACGCCCCATTTCATATCCCATCAATGCATAGTCGTTACCACTGGCCAAAGGGAAAATAATTTGGCATGCGATAAGGAATGTGAACGCAGACTAGCTATGGGTATGAAGTGGATATCAAAAAAGTCGACTGTGGAGAATGGTGGTTGCACTGACAACTTGTTCGCACACAATGCATCCTTTTTGAAAAAAACTACTAAAACATTATCAAATACGAGGCAATTTCCAAGACCACCGATTTTTCTCAATTGTTGCTACAGTCAAGTCAGACAGGTTCGACAAGGTAAATGACAACCTTCTGCAATACTATTTCTACTGAACTGATTACAAAACACCCGAGGCCCTGACTTTCACCTACCTTGAGAGTGTTCTGTTGTACATAAAAATTAACTTGAATTCCACAACTTCAGAAATTTGACCCTTCGGATTATTAGAGAGAGAATGAAGCCGAATATGACTTAGAGTATTAAGTAATAGTTCGAATGTTTTTACAAGGCTAAAAACTTTGGAAAATCGTTCTCAAGAAGCCTATGAATGCCAAGTGACTTTAAATACTTCTATCCTAGTGACTGCTTTTATCTCTACACATCAATTTCTTTAACTTCAAGTCACAGTGGGTCTTCCAATGAAGGGCGTCGGTTATTTGGGTCTCAATTTATTGGCAACTTGTAGATTCAGGGGATTCCCAATCTCATTTGGTTCTTGGTGTGGATGAGAGAAACTAGAAAGATCGCGATACATTTTGTCCATTTGAATGGCAACATTGAAGCCGAGCCCTTTCCACTGACCGAAAGGGCTGCTCAACTGGGTTTTTCTCCAAAAGGTTCGCCAGAATTGTCCAAGTAATTTGTGTATGGTTATGCATTTGTGCCATTCGTTCTCCATCTGTTTACCTCATCCACTACTATTTAAGAACATTCGATATTCTTCATCTGGATGATGAAAGTCAATGACGATTGGACGGAGTTAAGTTGTGGGATAAAACTGACGAGGTAGCTGTTACTCACAAGTTTTTCATACCTATCATACTTATAGTAAATACCGGTCTTTAAATCAACATTGCTATTTATCAAAAGGTGTCGATCTCATCTCAGCCCTCTTTCCTTATGCTAGTAACATCGACTTTGTTTGTATCATGAAACGTCGATGAAGATGTTAGTACATTTGCCTGCCTCACAACAAACCAAGGGGTCAGCATACTGGTAATAAACCACCCTTTTCTCCACCTTGACGCTGTTATAACTGTGTACTCAAAAGCTGCACGAACCCAAGCTTGTGTGCATACCCCAAAGGTGAATGATTTTCGTCCTTTTCATGCAGACCAGCGCATTAAAACTCAAATGAGGATTAAGATTAAACCGAAAGAAGGCAAAGTCCGCCTTCCTTACTCCTAACAGGATGAGGCAGTAGGTCCGCCCCATCAAGAATGGCAATTCGTGGTGCCTCTAACTTAGGTTTAGGAGAAATGGGTAAATGGCTGAGCGAGAAATGAGGACTGGGGTAGCTCATATATGGTAAAATCGTCCACAAGTTGGCAAAAAACGGTTAAGTCCTATAACTTTGAGCTGTGCTTACAAATCTACTTTTTGTTACAGGCAAACTGTCATGTCACGTCGGCATTCTACGGCGCCTATGTGTGTAAAATGTTCATTAATTTAATTGGAATGTTTAAAAAGGAATGACGTTCCTTGCATTTGCCGTTAGGCTTTGCGTTAACACTGACCTCACTTTTGTGCTTAAGTTAATGGGACCAATCAAATGAAAAAAAGGCGCAGGGAAAGGAATATTTTCCTCTCAAGTCTTAACCGTCTCCTCCATTATAACACTAAGAAAACCGTCTTAGTGACCTTTCTGCTGAAGCATATGAGGTGGCAAACAACAAAATGACCAATTTAGGAATTAAATGCCATAAGTAAATTAACAAGCTATTATGTCTCAGGTTTTTGCCTTGATTGAATTTCACTGAAGTCACATTTCACAATTTGTAACATGGCGAAACGTTTTCATTTAGAAAAACATGTTTAAGATGGTGGACCAATCGCTGAAAAGAAAAGAGAAATTAGACGAGCTCAAACAAATGGTTAGTAAATGTACCACTTAATGGTTACAGTATTTCCCTTGAGATTCATTAAATTTACTGCCAGAATGTTAAGAGTTGCAAAAAACTTGTTTTAGCGCCTCGCAGATACCAAATGTCTTGAGAAAGGTACTGCCTACAATAATTCCGTTGCTTGCCTGAATTTAGTCCTAAATGAGGAAAAATTGCTTATCAAACACATTCCACTTCAAAATGGTCCATTTGTTACAAGCATGAACTGATTAAGCGGAATGAGAGAAAATCAGGTTGTACAATTCTTTATTTGTATTTTTCATTACGGAAAGCGCTGTGATAAATGGAAATAGCCCCAGAGAATTGGAGTCCCATTTGTGGTGCAGAATGGGTTCGTATACCCAATTAATGTCAAGTTGGTCGCATTAGTGGTCAAAATCAGGGAAATGGACTATCGGACCGACTAATCAGTCATTCAGTTGACGCAAGTTCATTCCTACCACTTAGCGAATTTCAAGGCATTCTGCTGATAGTAATCAGCATCTAACTCTTCGTAAATTTTGCTCACAACCCCGTTTACGCAGACTTGTTTAGTTGAAAATGTTGCTGGGATATAAAAAAGTGTAAACAAGTCCAACTTTATGGCTTCTGTCAAGCAGCTTTTTTGACTGGTCGTCAAGTTGCACCTTTTTGAACTTTCGAAAAAGAGCAAAGATCCTCGACAAAGTCATAAGCAGAATTTGGATCACGACAAATTGCAGTAATTATCTACCTCCAACTTAGCAATTGAATGCGCGGAAAATCGGAGGGACGGAGCCTGCGCCCAAGTGCATTGGTATGATGCATTGCAAGGGATGATCAAGGCCTTGATCTATGGTAAATTCTAAGCTCTTAAGATCGCATGACTTAAGAATTTCTTTCAAGGTATGTTCTAAATCAAGTGGTAGAAATTCACTGACAACGTGATTATATAATGCACGTATTAATGTAGCCATCCCAAGTGACGATCTAAAAATTATGAACGTCATAATGTGTTCATTGTCTAATCAACTGATATGAATTAATAGCAAGTGCTAACAAAAGATGTCACATTAGATGGGAAAAGCATGAACTGAACTGCTACCCCCCTTTGGCATATAAGTCATGATTAATGAAGGAATCGAAGGGGATGGAGAGAATTCAGGGTGAATTCCCCTTCTCGTAATAATGCAGTTTTTTCCTGGCCAAAGCGGTGGGTGACACCCATCCAGTCTCATTGGCAACTGAAGGGAAATGTGTTGATAACCTAAAAACCCTTGTTGCTAGACAAAACGGGGAGTTAGTTCATACTGCTAGTTAAACCATTCATTTTGTCGGAAAATATCCCACGTTTAGGCTACAGATAGAAAAAATTAAGTGACCTAATAACGTCTGCCTGTTCTTTTTTGATATCCAAATAACATTTTATGCAAATAATTCATTTCTAGATTGGTTTAAAAGTTTCACTCTATCTTTTTACTAGTGTAATCCAAAACTTGATATACTTCCAAAAACATCTAGAATTTTCAGCGACAAAGTTGCCTCATCGATGAATAATCGTGATAACAAATGGAGGCAACGAAATTGCAGGAAAATGAAATCCTATTTCTTGTTGAGATCAAGGTCTAAAGAAAGTGTGCTCAATGGGGGAGTGCTTTGCTTTCAAAACATTAAGAGCTATTAAATTTTGAAATAGTGAATACACTGCTCATTTTAAATCATTACAGAACCACTGCTACTAGTATACGATTCACGAAACTTGCATGCCTCTCATGCAAGCACACGCAGTTGATTCCGGTTCCAGCCGGCCATACCATCCAATCAAAATTGGGCTGTGGTGTTGGGGCCTTACCTTTTAAACAAATGCGACCGCTCATCAGGAAGTGTTCACTTCAGACTTTCGAGGATAAGGTTCTGGAAGCAGGATACACGAAAATGCGATTAAGTCTGGCCATGGTGCTGTCTGCACTGGCAATTCTCCTTCTTAATGTAGCAATGCCAGCAAGGGTCTTCGACAGTCGACTGTCGATAGGCGCTGCCCTAGATACATCTGAGTTTACTATCCGGACGGTATTCCCTGCTTCTGTGGGAGAGCAGGTGCACATGTTCCAGTTCCCATTCCAATTCTACGGGAGGCAGGTTGATCAAATAAAGGTGAGTGGTGATTCTACTAATTGCAACAATTTAATGCTTTTCCAGATTTACTCGAACGGGTTTATCGCGCTTGGAAATCACAGTCTCCAGGTGCCTCCAAATTATCCAAGTCAAACGGCTTACTCAAAGCATCGTCTTAATGAGCTAGAGGGTGATTTCATTGGAGTCTTTACCACAGTCAATCAGTGCAGTCAAAATGGAAACATCATCATTCGGTAGGCTTCCCCACCACCGGTTTGCTTTTTACGCAGTAGAAATTACGTTGTCATTATATTAGTTAAGAAAGTGTGCTAACCGATCGCTTATAATTTGCATGCCGTAAAGTGTTCCTTTTGTCATCTTATCTGCACAAAACTG